AGTTTTCTACAAGTTTGTTAAATAATAAATCACAAGCAGAAAAAAAAATAGAATCTACCATATTGACATTGTCTCTTTTCTATAAAAGAAACATACAAGCGAATAAAAAAATGCACTAAAATAACATATCAACTTCATGATTAGTATCAATTGACAGATCATATTCTTACTTCGATCAAATAGAATAATTTATCAAGTCTAATATAAATTAGATCATTAAATTTTTTCAATAATAAGTTATTCAAAAAAAAAAAGCAATTGAAAATTTCAATCATTATGTTCATATATATAAAGGATTCTGTTTTATTTGATTGAACAAATCATCGATTTGAATTCAATCAAAATCGAAATAGTAAAATCTGTTGTATATACTAATTATCTAATAGAAGTTGAATAATAATCAACTAAAAAAGTCTTGTTAATTTGATTTACAAAATTATTTCAATGTCAAAATACAAGATAGATAAAAAATTGATGAATGTTGATATTAAAATAATTTCTGGATAAATTATTATTTTTACAGACCACACAAAAAAAAAAGACAAAGTATAGAATTTCTGTTTAAAATCATCATTAAACATACATAAATGCATTTGAAAAAAAAAAATCAATTTCCAAAAATAAAATCGTATCTGGATAATACAAAAAGTGCATTATCAGCAATCTTTTGTGATAGTATTTCTCTTATAAATATCTCGCAATTGAGAAATCGCTTTTTGAATCGAAACTATGTAACCAAAAAGTCTAGATCGTTATCTTATTGCTGCAGTAATAGACTAAAAGTTCGAACTCTTTTCAAGACTAATTTGCGTATATAGTCTCGACTCAAAAGCACTTAATCAATATTACTTTTTTGGTTTCTTAAACATCATTATTCACTAAATGATTTCAAATGTTTCCATTTATTTTATCATGTTCATACGCGAAATAATAATATCAAGTTCAATGATGAAGATTAACTCATTTATTTGTTATTATTTACAAATATGATTGAATGAACTCAGAGATTTTTCTATTTAATATGTATTCATATCTATAAATAAATATTATCAGATAACATTCATTTAAAAATCATGGACATTGGAAACCTATAGATGATATTTCATAAGTTTTCATTCTATATATTCTTGTCGATTACTTTTATTTCAAAGACTTACATAGGATAATATGTCTTTTGAATACAATGAATTTAAACATTTGTGCTAATACTCGTGTCAAAAATATATGCATATCTTTTTCTTTTATGAAGCTATTGTTTCTTGTTAAAAAAAAGAAAAACCTATTAGAGAGCAATTCATGTGGAATTTAAAATGTCAAATACGATGTTAATCACAGGAAGATTGTTTTATAGATATATCACTTAGAGACAAATCATTTTTTAAATCAAAGAACCACTGTTAGTCCCTCCTTCCCCTGATAAGTTTGGACAACAATACTTTTTTTCCTTACACAGTAATCGAGAAATCTCTGATCAAATTCAATTAATTGAAACGAAACAGCTTTTAGCCACCCAGATTTCAGCAATCGCTTAAACTCGATTTTAAGTATTAAATAATCAAGCTCGACTTAGTAATAACTCTGTAACGATGAGAAAATTTCTTTCACTGGCTGAGTCACGATAGATAACTTCTGATCATAGACGTACACCTTCTACTAGGGGAGCTGCGGGACCCGGACTGGAATCCAAAGTTTTATTTTTTTTTGTTGGATCCGGGTCCAGCTACACATTTTTGTGGACGCACTGCTCCACAGGTGAGAGATATAGCAACAAGATATAACTGTACGTTGAGAATAGCAAATAAATAGCTAAAATCTTGATTCTCTACTTGTTCATGTACACGAAAGGTGCTAGTATTGATGGAAAAAAATCTCGGGTTTGGATCCGGGTTCACGAAAACGTGCATCCACACTCCCAGAAACTGTCCGGTTCCCAATTGTCATAATTAATAGTTTGATGAGAAATTCGAAATAAAATTTTCTAACATACTAATGAATCAGATATAGTTGCAATTAATGAAAATTGACCTGTCATAAATATTCTATCCTATATGTATTAAACCTTGTTCAGCAAGTATTAATAAACGATTATTATTCATTTGACAATTAAGTATTTGTTGTATACTATTATTATTATTATTAGAATTTCAATGATGAAAATTATAATTAAATAAAATTTCTTCATTATTTAATTTCCATATAAGAATTTCATTTGTACGTAATATAGTTAACATATATTGATCATTATTATTGGTATCATTTATTGAAAATGTATTGTTTGGATCAGAATCAAATCTCGTTAAAATCATTGTACAATTATTCATTGTATGTGATATTAATGATGATTGTTCATTATTTAGATTTATTTGTGTTTCTAATTTGTATATAACAAAACATGTATATGTACTTGTATGTTCTGTACATACAATAAGTGCGTAGATTTCATTTTTTATTAAAATAATTCGTTAAATTTCATCACCAATTGATGTATCAAGATCTGATTTGAGTTCATGTATAAGATTACATGTATCAATATCAAGTAAACCAAGTAATATACCACGACCATATTTTTGTTTACCAGCCATATAAAGTATATATGAATGTTGAGATGTTATTGCTATTGAACATTTTATTGGATGTAAATTCTTATGAATTGTATAATCATTTGTTGACCAAATTTTAATAGCATAAGGATTTAAATTTGATGTTATTTCATAGAATAATCCAATTAAATATTGACCATTATAAGAAAATAATAAATTATGACAAGAACCAACTGATGATATAGGTAGTCGAGAATGGAAACTTCCTGTCTGAAAAAAAGAACCCAGGCAAAAGGATAATGTTTAGTAAAAAAGTATAGCTCAATTAGTACCTAATCTACGTTCTCTTGAAACAAGTAATGGAATTATTAAGTTAAATGAAAATCTTGTTCAATTTACTTGGAAAATTATTTATCGATTTGATCAATTAGTCTTTCTAGATACCCTGAAAAAATCAGCACTAGAAACTTTTGTTCAGAGGAATTGTCAATAAAAAAACCTAACATTAGTGATCTGACATAAAAAAAGACATCGGCTTTTACTTAATGCATTTTAGTTTGAAACAACTTCGAATAAAGGTAGCATTTTTGAAAACTAAATAGTGGGTTCTGTAGATAACTCTTGAGGCTACAAAATCTCTATCTAAAGTTTTTTCTAAATGAGAAATTCAAAACTAATTCCAAATAATACAAATCCTTCTTCTGAATTTCTAGAAAACCAGTTTTAAGAGAAAGTTTTTTTAGTCCACTCGTATTGAACATTTCGCCATCGATACGGTTCGTGTCGTAGAGTTTTTCCTAAAATTTTTTGGTTATGTTTTTTTTTCGTGTGGTTAGAGAAATATTCGCTAATTATTTTTTAACTAATAGTCAACTGAAAGAGCCAACATTTTTACATATGTTAATGTTAGAAGAATTTATTCAAAAAACTAAACTTTGTAAAGAATCAAAGTCAAACAAAAGATGGGTGTATTTCGTTTTGTCTAACATAGCTCATATTTCAATGAAACGTATACTGTATTTTTGATTTCATACTCATTTGTTTAACGTGTCACAAATATTTCGTTGTATTAAGGAAGCAGACACGAACAAAAAAATGTCATTCGTTACAAAGCAAAGCGGGAAGAAAAAAAAATGCAATTGATAATTAGTTGTAAATATATACTTTGTTTTCTTCTTCTTCTTCTTCTTATCTTAAAATGATCGAGAATGAATGTAAATCATTTGAAAATTTACTACCTACAACTACAACTAAACAATCACATACACAGTTTCCCGAACATTTTGAAAAACATCGTAATGAACTTCATCGTATGTCTCTATTTTTATGTTTTTACTGTCAAATGAATATTTTTGTCGGGTTTTATAGGTGAATTGGCCATGCGTTGGCCACTTCGTACTGATGTGCCAGACTCTATATCGATACCACCGACTATTTCTAAATCTACTGCTCATTCAAATATGCGTGATGGTAATAAATCAAATATGACACTCGGTGATAATGATAATCCACGATCGAATAATTTAACATCAACAAATCATACTGGATTAATTGGAAAAAAATCCGAAACAATTAATCGTATAATACCGACCGATAGCCAATTTTCGTCTGATGAACGTCAGCAACATATTGAATGGATATCGAAAGCACAAGAAGGTATTATTACTTATCAATTACCTGATGGTTTATCTGATGGATTTGCTTTATATAATAAACTTAAAAAATTAATGAAAACAAATACAATATATTTAAATGATAGATATTTTTGGACAACATTAAAAAATCGATTTAAAAATTTAAGAAAAGTATCTTATTGATTTCAGTGTACTATGTACAGTAGTGAACACAAGTCTTCGCCTTAGCCGATCTCGACTACTGTATATGCTGAAAGTCATTGGCATTATGATACCGTTATTGCTTAATTACAAAGAGAAAGTTATAATGGACGACACATATTTTTTGTTCTCAACATTATAACCTAAAAAAAGACTGCCTACAAAATTTTGTGCTGCATTCTTACAAAAAAATATGATTAATTCTTGATATTTTTATATGCAGCTGAAGTCTTGTCTACAGTTTTTTCTCATCCAAAATATAAGTTTATTTTCTTGGATATTGATGTTTCTGAATCTTTAGAACTAACAAGATTATCATCTATATTCCATTTCTCCTTAGTACAAGTATTCGTTTCAGAAACTTGTATGTAATAATGCCTAACTGTAGAGAAAACTTTTCAAAAAGACTGAACTATCACTGAGCTAGTGAACTCCAAATGACAATAGATGATTTCTCTCTACAACAATGATCACAGCAAAATGAGCATAGTCTTTGAAAAGACCGATGAACTTCAATGAAATTAGTGACATACAGAGGAGTCGACTGGCAATAAATATAGGTTCCATCCATCATAACTCCCTTCGTAATGAAGTAATAACGGCGTCATAATGCCAATGACTTCC